TCACAGTCTCTCAGTTATTACCTAGGTGTTTTTATGGATCTCTCACAATATCTGTATGAGAGACTCGAACGATAAAGTTGTTAATTCAGAGATTCGAGTCTCTCACAGAGAGACTGAATGAATAAAACTGAAAAATTGAGAGACTCGAATCTTTCGTTGAATGACTGGGGTCTCTGAAATATGTCTCTCGTTCAGAGACCGAATACGAAATGAGGATCTCTCTATGAGCGATCCGAGTCTCTCGTTCAGAGACGTTAAACAGTTTTTTTGACAGTCTTTCGACAGTTTCTCGACTCGATGAGATACGGAGACTCGAGTCTCTCTTTCAGAGGCTCTGACAAACTGAACATTTTTATTTAGGGTAACTCACGAAATAAGATATTAATTTATCATGTAAGACACATACACAAAACGTACTATAATAGCACCAAAACAGCATCACGTACAAGATCATCTAAAACACCACCAAAACGTACCGTATAAAAAAATGAAAATATTGATTATTTAATACCAACTTATCCATCAGATATTTAAATTTTTATTAATTAATGTTAACACATACATATATACACCATTGTCATTAACAACAGCACCAGTACTAGTATTACTAGAGCACTAGTACTTCTAGCATCATCAGGGTCATCTTCATCGTCATCGTCATAAGCCCTTTTGATTCACAGGCCCGATCCTAACCCTAATAATAATTATGAAATTCCAACCTTCCCCAATTCTTCACCTAATTTGCATCAATATTTTCAACATAATTTTTCTCCATATCCATCACTCTACAATGTTCCGCTAAACTCCCATCCCATACCTCAGCAATATCCAACTGATAATTATCAACCTCATCCAAATCACTATCAACATTACCACCCACAATTTCACGCCCAGTTATGAAAATAGTAATAATTTTAGTATCCCTTTAGTGCTGTGTCGGTGCTTTTCTAGTATAAATGCGTCGCTCTTTCGGTGGTATTTCATTGGGAGTAACAGCCTTGGGGTTGAAATCCCATCTCGAGGAGAGGTTTTAGTCGGTAGGCGCTACGGCGAATCCGACACTACCCCCCTTCAGGGGGTGTATTTTAAAGATTTCCCCTCCTCGAGGCTAAACTAAACGAAAAAAAAGGTGGTATTTCAGTAGCTTTCTGGAAAGCAATCGGTGCTGTATCCGTGTTCTTTTCGTACTAAATGCAGTAGGTACTTTTTCAGTATTCCATTCGTACACAATCGGCCGTTTAGTCCTGCAAACGGACCTTTTCTCATAATATTTTAGAGATGGAGCTAGTTTGGACGTAATTCGGTAATATGAAATTGAAAAGAATAATTTTTACTCGGGTAATTTTAAGAAAGTGTAAAACTTTTATTTTTCTTTTGACTTTTAATATTCAGCATTTCGTTTGTTCGGTGCTTATGTCTAACAGTTTCACCAAATCAAAATTTGCAAAGGCGTCTCCTATAATTAATTATGTGTGTAACCACCGAATCTCCCAAGTAAGAGTTAAATAATTTATCGATACTCACGTACGTTAAACATTTATAGCTAGCGATATACCTAATATTGGTACTTCTAATATTAAGTTAAGCGGAAACGGGATACAAAAGCATTCGTTTTATGTTGTGATTGTTTGTTCATACGCAACACTATGAAGTAGTGAACCGAAGAAAATAGTTTAACTTTAATTAATTTCCCAATTCTTTTACCCACCATATACATTATGTTTTCAAAGTCTGAACGTCCTTCCCGTAAAATTTGTACATTGAGCACCTGAAAATCTTTCGGCAAACTAAAACTACTTCATTTATTATAGAATTATACCAAAGTCGATCATTTGAGCGTTGTTTTGGACAGATTTTTTAATAGATATTTAAGAATGGAACCGCTAAAGTCAAACTTCCTTTAAAGTTCCCTTTCTGGAGGCATCGCATTAGTATATTTTTCGCAGCTAATTTAGTGTGAACACTAGGGATAAACAGGCGCGCTCATCATTGATGATTTTTCCTTAGGGTCATTTCAATGCACTTCAACTGGTATTTTTCAATTTCGCCAATAAAAGGCAAAGAATTTTTCATAATTTAAATTGTCAACGATAACTAACATTCTTGTTCGTTTATTTTAAATAAAGCAATGCAACGCCAATGCCTCGGTAACATAACACTTTTGGACTACCGCTCGGCAGTGAACCTTATTTCAAATTGATAGTAGTTTTCTTATGGCTTACAGAAAAATCGATTAGTAATTAGAAAAGAAAGGAAATATATACTACCTGTGCAGTACGAGTGCGAGCTACCAAATATACCATAGTTACATTGATGTCGACGCGCGACGGCCCGATTCAAAACTGAATCGGTTTTAAACTAAAACTGAAATGAAGGTACACAACCCCTAAATTAAAGTTAAATTTAACAAATATTACAAAAGCCAAGAGTAATTAATTGGTACTACAAAGAATTTATGTATTCATTATATGAATGGATTTATTAGTTTTGACGTGAAAAATATATTTTTCATTACTTGTTACCATTTTCTGAGGACTTATAGACAACTTGTTAGTTCCGGAAACACTACTAAACACACACTTGCATACTAACGAGCACCACAAAATCTTTCGAAATTAGAACCGAGCGGTAAAAAAAGGCTTCAAAGCGTCTACCAAAATTATTTCTCACTCGCACAAAACATCCAGCGTTTGGCGAATTTCATTTGCAGCGATCTTCACGCTGTACGCTGGTGCATGAATCGCGCACTGCTTCATACATAAAACTATGTGGAGTTAGATCCCACTACCAAGAATGTAAACATCACCCTGTTTCTTGAAAAGCTATAATCTACAATATTCTTCAGTGCGCTCGTGTAACTAGAATACGTTCACTCCCTTTAACCTCTTTATCGATCGATCTTTAAATTTTTAGCGATTTCACAAAAATATAAATTACATCTAAAAATTTACTTTTAATGCTTACCCAGAGAGATGGAAACTAATGCTGCCAAAATTAAAGTTCGTGCCATGTCTGCTGAATGATCAACCAGAAGTTGAACTTTTACTTTTATAAGTATGTTTGTACGTCATTATCTCGTCTCTGTGATTTTGTAGAATTGTAGATAGTGATTAATTCGACGACAACGTCAGTTATGAATTCATCTCAAATACCTACTTAAAGGCACGCGTTCCTCTATGTACAGAAAATTAAAACGCATCGAAAAAAATCATCGAAGTTTTATTCATACGACTAAAGTAAAAGGAAGCTTTGAGTAAAATTATTGAAGCTATGGTTAACTGGCATAGTATAACCTTGCCGAAACAGAGCTGTGTTATGGACAGGCAGTACTAGGTATACACTTTTACCTACCTAGCTTTCTCCAACCTTCTTAGAATCAAGCAAATCGTCTAAAAAAAAGTACAAATCTTTTGTTAACCGGATATTTATGGCTACGTCCTCGAATTTGACTCGAGGACAGCTTTTTAGTAAATTCTTTGAATTCACCCCAAGCCAGCCGAGGGTATATAAACCTCTGGAAAAGAGAAAGCAAGGGAGAACATCTAAGCACTCATCTAAAATCGTTTCTAAATCGTTACTGTCTCGTTCCACAATTGTAGTTAAAGTTCATTAGTAAATAAATAGTGTATTGTTAATTTTAATAAAGTATAATTAAGGACTTATCATTGCCGAAAGTTTGATTTTGACTTTCAAGTCTTAACCATTTCGCACGAACCCTAATTTAAAGTTCCCGCGTATAAATATATATTTATCGGGGACACAACATTTTTGGTGGCAGCGGTGGGATTCCAGCGAATCAACGTTTGTAAAGGATAATCTTGTGGCTATCCCTGTGATACTGTGTTCAACGATCCTGAAGGATATTCCTGTGTACACAACCAAACCACGGAAAGCAGGCAAAATCGGCGGTGCGACTTGTCTATTTGGATGCCTACAACTCCTTGAAGACGTTGGGAATCAAAACGAAAGCAAAAAGTAAGTCCTTTCTTATCCCTATTTGTACTTTTCCTTGTATGTATCGACTCAACCATGGCTAACGAAAGAGAAACAGTTTATTTATCATTTGACCAATCAATAAAATTAATTCCTATCTTTGATGGAAATAAGAAAAACTTTCCACAATTTTTAAATTGCGTAGAAATTGTTAAAAATCGGAGTAATCCCGCTGATATGGCAATGCTTTTGGACATCGTAAAGACTAAATTGTTAGGTGTAGCATTTAATGCAGTTAGGTATCGTACTATAGAAACTTGGGATGCTCTCATAAATACATTGAAACAGCACTTTTCCGAAAAACGCACAATACCACATCTTGAAGCGCAATTATCATCTTTAAGGCAAAAACCGAACGAATCCGTTACAGATTACAGTAATAGACTAGAAAGCATTATAGAGCCGTTAATTAACGCGTCATGTGAAGGAAAAAATGATGCAGCAGTAGAGACTATCGAGTCGTTATTAAAGGAAAGAGCATTGAATACTTTTATTTTAGGCCTTAGGCAACCTTTGAAATTATTAGTGGAGTCTCGAAATTACCAGCAGTATGAGCTAGCAGTAGAGGGGGCTATTCAAAAAGAGCGCGAAATGTTATTAGAAAAAGAAAGTTACAAATTTGTTAACACTTTTAATTACAATCCACATTTAAATTTCCGCAATAATAGTAGTGTAGCAAATAAAAATAGTAATTTTCACTCAAATAGAAACCAAACTCCCAATAATTTTCCTAGAAACACTTCAACAAATTCCTGTAATGGTGATTCTAACAGTAATAGGGTCTATCTTTCTTCAGTTATTTGCAGTTATTGCAAAAATAAGGGCCATCACATAAAAGACTGTAGGAAAAGACAATGGGCGAATACTCATAATTCCTCAAGTAATAACTTGAGTAATCCTGCTTCAAGTTCGAACGCATCTCGTTATAATTCCCAAAACAATCAATCCCATTCGGGAAACTCTTTGCCGGGAGCATCGAGCAGCCGTATGACTCCCGCCCGTGCTTTCAAATAGGCTGTTCTCTAGACAAAAGATCAGAATATCGTTGCATAAATTTAAGTATTAATATAGTAGACGAAGAAAAAGTATCTGTACTGGTAGATAACGGGGCAGATATATCTTTAATAAAAGTTAGTAAACTAAAGGATGATTGCCTTATCGACACATCATTTCCTGTCCACGTAACGGGTATTGGAGGTAGTCATGTTACTACCATAGGAAAGATAGTTGCCATTATTACCTTACCAAATAACAAAAAAATACCTCACGAATTTCATGTTGTAGGAAAGGAAATTCCCGTACCTGACGATGGCATTTTAGGCCGTGATTTCTTACAGAAAAATAAAGTAGTTTTAGATTATAATAGAGGTACTTTTAGTGTAGATAACTGTTCTTTAGCGTTAAGAAGTTCACAAAATTTAATTACTATAAAACCCCGCAGCGAACAATTTGTTAACTTTAATACTAAGTCATTACATGAAGGTCTTGTAGAAACTTTTGAATTAAAACCAGGTATTTTTGTCGGTTCGTGCTTAACTAAACCTACAAATGGGCAGTGTGTTGTTAGCGTTCTTAATACTACCGAAGAAACATTACAAATTCGCGTACCGGAAGTAAATTTACATGAAATTGGTCCAAATCATTGCACACAATCTAAATCTCATGCACCAGCTGTCCATACAATGAATATCAAATCTCAAATCCATGATCGTTTAGAAATTTTACGGAATAATTTAAGACTAAGTCACTTAAATCATGAAGAGAAATCAGAGTTGCTAAATATTATAGAACAATATAGCGATATATTTTACTTAGACGGCGACATTTTATCTTTTTCGAATGCAGGAGTGCATAAAATTTATACTAAATCTGACGTAGGTCCAATCAATGTTAAACCATACCGTTTACCAGAATCGCTCAATTCAGAATTAGAAAAACAAATCAATAAAATGTTAGAGGAAAACACAATTCGTCCATCAAAGTCACCATGGAATTTTCCAATACTTTTTGTACCAAAAAAACAAGACGCTTCAGGTGAAAAGAAGTGGCGGCTTGTGGTTGACTATCGTAAATTAAACGACATCACAGTGGGTGATTCGTTTCCCTTACCATCTATTGCAGATATTTTTGACCAATTAGGAAAGAGCCAATATTTTACAACTCTCGATTTAGCAAACGGGTTTCACCAAATTCAGCTAGCCGAGGAAGACAAGGAAAAAACAGCCTTCAGCACAAAATTTGGTCATTTTGAGTACAATAAAATGCCAATGGGCCTTAAAACAAGTCCTGCCTCATTCCAAAGAATAATGAATTGTATCTTAAGCGGTCTACAAGGTTTAAAGTGTTTTATATACTTAGACGATATTTGCGTTTACGGTTCTAATTTGAAAGATCATAATGAGAAATTAAAGGAAGTTTTCGAGAGACTTCGCTCTGCTAATCTTAAATTACAGCCCGCTAAGTGCGAATTTTTAAGACGCGAAGTAAGTTACTTAGGACATTTAATAACTAGCAACGGAATTTTACCTGATCCTGAAAAAACAAAAGTAATTTTAGACTATCCTATACCTCAAAATGTTAAACAATTAAAATCATTTCTTGGTCTCTGTGGATACTATAGGCGTTTTGTTAATAATTATAGTTTTATTACACTACCCTTAACAAAGCTTTTAAAAAAAGATTCTGTTTTCCAATGGTCCGATTTATGCAACAAATCATTTCAAAATTTAAAACAAATTCTTTCAAATCAACCCCTCTTGCAATTTCCTAACTTCAATGAAAAATTTTTATTAACAACAGATGCTTGTAACACTGGTATTGGTGCAATTTTATCTCAAGGAAAAATAGGCGACGATTTACCTATTGCATATTGCAGTCGCGCTTTAAATAAAGCAGAACTGAACTACAGCACCACTGAAAAGGAGCTTTTAGCAATTGTTTGGGCCACTAAACATTTCCGCCCTTATCTCTTTGGCAGACGTTTTATTATCATAACAGATCATAAACCTCTANAAAAATCCCTCCACGCGCAGGTCCAAAAAGTCCCATATTTTCTCTAAAAATCCCTCCAACTTATTACTATTATAATTTTTTAATTCGTTGATTTAATCGTTTCTTCGAAGAAAAAAATAGACAATATTTCTGTAAATATGGACAACTTTTCGTGTCGATAGCATAATACCGATAATTTTATTATATGTAGTTATCTCGTTTCCCAAAAGTGCATACAAAATCAGGCCTTGGGGGTTTAGATGTTCGGATTTCGGAAGAATACACCAACTCAAACATTTATTTTTATTAGTTTTAACATCTGTTTCTGATCTGTTGACTGGTCACTCTCAAGATGTTTGCTGGAGACCATACAATGATACGAAAACAATATACAATTCAAAAGAGTTCAAGACAATTTATTGTAGGGACTTGAGCAGGTACCTACAGGCTGCACCAGTAGGCTTAAACGCACGTCGCCGTCGTATATCAACCGTTTCATCATACAGCATTATACGATTATAGCTGACAAAATTTTACGTTTACAATTAGAAAAAGGAGCGCCTTCATAATATAATATCAGGTCACAAAACCAACCAAAAAATGGCAAATTACAAAAAATCCCGCGAAAATAAGGAAAAATCCCTTTATCCCTCGAGAACGTCAGAAATCCCTCGAATCGGGATAAATTCCTCGAAGTGGCAACACTGTTGGTAGGTACCAGCGAAAAGGAAGTTATACCGCTTGGACGAGGATCCAGATTTTTACAATTAATTTATTGATTACATTTTTCTGTGTTTTGCTTATTTGTTATTGAATTTAGTTCACGGTATTTAGTACCTTGTGTAGTTTAACTTTATTTCTTATTTCCAAAATTTTTATTTTCCAGGTTAATTACATTTTCGGAATGTTGATTCTGAATTACCGCTACAATGATGTAGGTTATTGGTAATAAAATAATTTATCCATATATATATTTAACCTTCGAAGTTTCGTGGTTTATGTTCTACCATCTACCACAAGCGTGCCTAATGTCGGCGTACTTAACTTGGGGTGTGTGGGTATAACTAGTCATATAAAAAAAAACATAAAAAAAGCAGTTTGTGATTGTTTTAAAGTGCCACACGTGTAGTTAAAACTTGATTAAGTTTGAGGACGACACGCGCAGGAAGTATGGACATTAAAATAGATAAGTATTGTAAAAAGAATTTC